CGCCCTCTTCATCATATTGGCCAGCCACATCATATTCAGAGGCATACTGTTCGTCCCACAAAAAAGCCATCTCATCCATGGGAAACTCCTCCTGATCGGTGGCCTCCCCATCCGGATATGCCTCCTCCAATGGCTCCTCGTTCCCCGGCTGCTCATCCAGATCTTCTGGGACTCGGACCATCACATCACGACCCTCTGGCCTTGCCTCCACCACTGCATCCGCAGACCTCTTCATGCTCCGGCCAGGGCCCACACACTTGTCCGCCAGAACCTTTCGCTCGGTCTGTGTCCATGCATCTGCCATAAGGGGCCGAGCTCGAAAGCCTGGGAGAGCAGGAATACCCAGCATACTTTCAGGATAAGGCCGCCTGAAATCCCAGGGCACCGAGTTCCGCATGACATCGTGCGGAATAAACAGCATATACCCGGGAGGATCTCGCATCTGAGGTGGAGGCAGCATTCCTGGAAAGCCCAGTTGGCATGGTAACAACGGCGGCATTGGCGCAGGTGCTATCAACGGCATTGGAGGCACTCTCGGAGTTGGAGGGAAGGACATATCCACCATGCCCATGCCAGGGGGTCCCCCGGGTGGCCCGAATAACCCACCTGGTCTCATAGGCCCAGGTGCTCTCATAGATGGCATAGGCCCAGGTGCTCTCATAGATGGCATAGGGGGTCGCGACTTCCCTGCAGTTCCCTCTTCCGCAGGGCTGTTGCCACCATTGCTGCCACCAGTCGGCTCTGACATGGTCAGCACTCACTGAAAGATCAATCTCAGAACATGTTATGTGCATGCATGCACATGTATGTCACATTCGTGAGCATGCATACATGCATGGTCATGTATGTATACCCGTGTACATCATGTATGCCATGGTTCATGAATTCATGTCATGATACCGGATACTGTACTTGCAACACTCGAACCTCGCAGCAGCGAAATGGTGAATGAATTGCTGAGCTCATGCAATGCGAAGCGTTACAGTAGCAGAGGCAAAACCAACATCCTGCTCAATGCACGAAAGACCTGCACTTGCACACTCAAAAAAACCCGCCTCGTTTGATGCCGCAGGCGCCGAGGGATCGTCGAGCAGCCATGCATGTATATGCCATGGACATGAACAGGGCTGGAACATCTTACAAGCATGGGTGCTTTCAATCATATAGGTTTCGGCAACAGCTATATATGGCCATGCCGAAGCTATGATATAGGAATCATTCCATGGAACATGTCCATGTACAGGTTTTTATGTAGTAGACATGGTCAAGGTACATGATGATCGTGTCCTACCATGAACAAATATTGACATGCGAGCCTAAAGTTGCACATGACAGGCGGAACCCGGCAACTATCAAAGTTGCAGCAAAATGGCCCTCTAGAATAGTTGCCAATAAAACTGCGCAACCGGCGCGTTCCAGGTAGTAGTAGTAGTAGTAGTAGTAGTAGTGGTAGTAGTAGCAGTAGCAGTAGTAGTAGTAGTGGTAGTAGTAGTAGTAGTAGTAGTAGTAGTAGTAGTAGTAATAGTAGTAGTAGCCTTCGTTGTTGTTCCCTCCCTCTTGAAAGAACAACAACCCCGCCTCCGCTTGTTGTTCCCCGCATTCTTGAGAAAACAACACCCCCCCCCGGGTTGTCGTTCTTACCCTTCCCTTCCCCTTTTGCAAACCTGCCAAATGATTCCTGCTCAGTTGTGTTTCCTTGCTTTTCAACCCCTGAAGTGTTTGCATGTGGCTCTTTCCTTCTTGTGTTGACGAACGCTTTTTTTCCTGGCGGCTCGAAACAAGGGGGGGTTGAGCCTAAGACAAGCGGGGGGGTTGGGGGGGGGGCGCAGCCCCTCCCATTTGCAAGCCTTCCATCGTCATGATAAACTGTACTTGCTTGCTTTAGCCCCCCTAATGCGTTTGCATGTGGCTCTGTCCTTCTTGTGTTTTGGCGAACACGCTCCTACAACGCTGTTGTTGTCCTTCTTCGAACTTGACCCCCTCCTCCATATTGGAATATAAACCCCCCTCCATACTGCTGGACTTGAATCTTCCCCCTCCATGGAGTATGAACCCCCCCCTTGAATGATCCTGGACTACGAACCTCCCCCCCCCCAAACACTCCTGGAGTATGAATCCCCACCCCCCCCTCATATTCTTCCCCCCCCCCCCCTCCCCGCCTCTGGGGGGGGGGGGGTCAATACTCCGGAAGAACTAACCCCCCCTACCCGTGTCCTAGCGGCGCGGTCTCTAGAACCCCGTAAACCCCCCCTGGATACATTATTGCTCCCGGGAGACCCCCAGGCAGGAATGTATCCAGGGGGGGGCCCCTTGGTTTTGGACTGAGGGCCCCGCATGTCAGGACGATGACGCCGCTGCGGCTCAGCAAGAGGAACATCTGCACCCATAAAGGGTGTGACGGACCGGTGTACCTCGAAGCGCATCAAAAGTAGTAACTTTTCCACGCGTTTGGACGCTCGACCACGCCAATCCTTGTGAAGGGTTCCAAATTGCGCCTCGAAGCGCATCAAAAGTAATAACTTTCCGACGCGTTTGGGCGCTCGACCACGCCAATCCTTGTGAAGGGTCGCGCGTCGACCGTGAAATGTGTAACTTTACCTAGCGTTTGGGCGTTCGATCGACCAGGCGAATCCCGTCGCGCGTCGACCGCGAAATGTGTAACTTTACCTAGCGTTTGGACGTTCGACCAGGCGAATCTCTGTGAAGGGTTGCGCGTCGACCGCGAAATGTGTAACTTTACCTAGCGTTTGGGCGCTCGACCAGGCGATTTCCTGTGAAGGGTTGCGCGGGGGGCACCTAAAATGTGTAACTTTACCTAGCGTTTGGGCGCTCGACCAGGCGAATCCCTGTGAATGGTTGCGCGCGGCGCCTAAAATGTGTAACTTCACCTAGCGTTTGGGCGCTCGACCAGGCGAATCCCTGTGAAGGGTTGCGCGGAGCGCCTACAATGTGTAACTTTACCTTGCGTTTGGACGCTTGACCAGGCCAATCCTTGTGAAGGGTTGCATTCCCGATCGATGACGACGGTGCCACCCTGGCTTTACAAGAGAGAAGAAAAAACCGAGATGTAGATAAATCGGATAGAGACAGAAGCACAGAGTCATAGAGTCAATAGAGTCATAGAGTCACAGAGTCATAGTGTCAAGAATGCATAGAGCCAAGTACATAGAGTCATAGCATAGAGTATCATAGAGTCATAGAGTAAGAGTCATAGTGTCAAGAATGCATAGAGTCAAGTACAGAGAGTCATACCACAGAATCATAGCATAGAGTCATAGAGTCATAGAGTCATAGAGTCATAGAGTCATAGAGTCATAGAGTCATAGAGTCATAGATTCATAGAGTCATGGAGTCATAGAATCATAGTGTCTAGAGTCATAGCGTCATAAAGTCATAGTGTCAAGAATGCACAGAGTCAAGTACATAGAGTCATAGTAGAGTCATAGAGTTAGAGTCCTGGTAAGTCATCCATGTACTCGACTCTATGTCTGTCATCTATGTACTTCTCTAACCGGCTCCGCACGGAAGAACCCTTCGCAATGCTTTTGGGAAAAAATGTTGTGAACCGGAGTCTCGCTGATGCAAGACAGGACTGCAAATTGGAGTTCCGCAATAGCCAATGCAAGACCCGGCAAGTTGTAGTTCCCGAATAGCTTAGCTTGACGCCAGACAGGAGCTTGGAAATTGTAATCCCCCATAGCAGGACCCGGCAAATTGTAGTTTCCCAATGGCTCGATGCAAAACAGGAGCGAATGCAGCATTTTGGTAGTTGCAATTGCAAAGAGAGCCAACGTTAGCGATGTATACGTGGGACCGCCAGCATTAGGAAAAAACACTTACCGCCCCAGCAACACCCCCGCTGCTTAACCGTGCAAGCCGGCTTGAAGGAGCATCGTATCATGAACAGCAAAACCCATCTCGGCCCTTTCAGAATCCATGAGGCAGGCCTTGTGTTTGCTGCAAATTTGCGACATGGGCCTGCGTCTCCCGTCACGCCTCGACAAAAGCAGCAAAAACAAAGATGGAGCAACAATAAGTAACAGAACGAACATAATTCCATCCAATTGAACCGCAGTGCCACAAGAACGCCGACCGGAGTTTTCGCCAACGGTGAAGCAGAAAGGTGCCCGACCTGCATAGCTCGCTTTAAGTGTCTTCATTTTCCCAAACCTACACGGTAGGAGACAGAAACTCGGCTCGAACAGCACGTTTTTCCTGCTGCAACCTCTGAAGGAGAAAAATGTCAGTGGAGGAGTCGTGAGTTTTCGTCGACAGAAGTCTTCGAAAGAAATTTGAGTGACTTGCAACCGCACCGCGCCGCTCCTGCAAGCACAGATCCTAGCTGCGGCGGCATTGGAAGAAAAAGCTCACCCTTGAGCTCGGGGGAATACAGCTGGGCATCGCCCGGCCGCTTTTCCTCTGGTCCGACAACAGTTTTCCAAGCAGGCTTGTTACTTAGACAACAGGCTTATGGTCTGCACAAGGACCCTGCAGGCCCACAGCAGTGAGGCTTTTCGTACTTTACATGCTGCATGTTCATGGCTCTCAATCTTCGGGCTTTGGAGTTCAGAGGTCGAGGGCTCGGGTGATGCCGAGTAGCGTGTGGTGGTGCTTCGGTCGCGAGACGGCATGCCCAGGCAGTGAGGCCCTAAACCCTGAGCTAGATCTGTGAACTGCAGCCCTTGGTTCAAGAGCCGAAGCCCTCGGTTGCAAAAGCTGAATCGGTTGCCCAATCTTGATTACCTGCGTGGCCATGGCGCGGGCGACTTTCCTCCTTGCCGTTGTGTGCTTTGCCCGGCTTTCGGGTGGCAGTTAGCTTGCTTTAAATCCTAACAGTAATCCGACCCCATCAACGTCACCGAACTCGATTTGGTCAGGGACTGGTGGTGTGTCGCATTGCGACTCAAACATTTTGGGCTGATGTCTACTTCCCACACTGTCGGTTTAACAGTCTTAGCAGACGAACAGCCGCAAGGCTCGGTGCATCTGTGCGCCAGAACATGGACCTGGCCGCGAGAAGGTTGACTAAGCTGCAAACGATGGGGACCTCGCCTTTTGACGATGAGTTGGAGGAGCCCATCGCGGTTGATGTTTGCTGTGTGACCTGTGAGGCCCAGACTGATTTGAAGCACCCTTGAGCCCGGGACGCTTGTGTTGTCTTGTTTCAAATTCTCCACTACGAAACTCGAATCCTGGGTGTCGGGCACGACACCCTCACCTCACAACAAACCAATGACTGGTCACGACTTGTCACAGTCAGAGTCACAGACTGTGCATGCAGAGCACGTGAGGCCAATGACTGACCGGTAAATTCTGTGGCAGGAGATCCTCAAAGAGCCCGTCATGGAGAAATGTGTGAAAGAAATTGAGCGAATCCAGAAGGACCCCATGAATCGAGAGGCAGGGAATGGCTTTCCCCTCGCGAGATGAGCCCTGAGCTTCCGTTCAAGTCGTTCCGTTACTCCTTCTTACATGGTCCTAAGGCTTGCCTTTGGTTAGTAGGGAATGGAGGAATGGGGTACGATTATAACTACTCTTGCTACCATTCTTCCATTCCCTACTAACCAAAGGTATGTAGCGCAACTACGGCGTCACGGTGCTAAACCCTGAACCCTAAACCCTAAACCCTAAACCGTGGTAGGTTGCATCGGCCTTGGATGCAGGTCTTCAGGCCGCACCGGGAGCCCCGGTGCGGCCTCGTCGGCACGAAGAAGTGCACTGTGTCTTACGCTGCTCTGGTCTCGTTAAGGAATAGGGATCTATAAGGGTTCCTTAAAGGGATCTATAAGGCTTCTCTCAAGGGTTTAGGGTTTAAGGTTCAAGTTACCATAATACGGATCTATAGTAAATGCAATCGGGTTCTTATTATAGTAATTAAGTCCCCTAACCAGAGCCCAGGTTGGCACCGACAACACTGAGCCATACTGCTGCCCCCCGGTGTGCCTGGAACCTGATGCGATCAAGGGCTATGAGAAGCTGCAGTCAATTTTCTTGTGCGCCGAACCTGACTGCACAGTAACTGTTTTGGCCACCGGCTGATTGACGGACTGATTGCGAGCTGAGGAAAAAAAGAAGGCTTGTAGTGACTATGTAGTGCTATGAGCTTGTGCCGCAGTCAAGTGCGCTGTTCAGTCGTAGGTGTGGGTGATTTCCGACTCTGCAGATGTGTAACAGCGATTCGTTACTGTGCCAGCCGTGCCCCTATGCCGTGGATCCTAAAGAGTCTACCAAGCCTGAGGGCAGCTGCAGGTATCGGCTTTAGGGCCTTAAGGGTGCGTTAAACGGCGTTGTGTAACGGATTCCCCGCTCAGCGAAGCAAACTAGAAGGCTTTGGGTTTCTAGTTTGTCGGTTTTCGGCACGCCCAAGGACAGCTGAGGGGATGAATGATTTTTCAAGTTTACCCAAAATTTGGCTTGTCTTTGCGCCACACGTTTGTGCAAATCTCGAGAGACCGTTTTAGCATTTCAACTCTTCGGCTTGAGACCACGAGGCAAGCTGAGAGCCGCGGCAATGTCACTTATGGAGCTGAGTGCCGTGGTGCCAGCGTTGGCCGGGAGTGTGGCCAGAGGATTGCCCAGCAGATGGCTTCGCAAAGAGGACAAGGAAAGCAGAGACAGCAGACACAACCTTTGCCTTAATCGCTTGTGCGCAGAGTTGGCCGCAAAAGACTTGGACGTCCGCCAAAAGGCCGCCGAGTCATTGGCGCAATTGTCAAAGGGTGATTCTTTCGCTGTGGTGTTGGCTGACAACTTGCAGCCTGTGATGCATCACGGCTTGAAGCCTGCCCAACCTGGACCAGTGAAGTTGCCCGTCCTTGCGGCCTTGCGCTCCATTGCCGAGAAGGGCCACGCCGTCTCGGTGGCTCTGCATTCGAACTCATTGCTACCATGTTTGGAAGATCAGGACATCCTTGTCCAAAGAAAAGTCTCTGCGTTGTACCGGGTCCTGGCAGAAGAAGGTGCTGCTGGCATGATAGCACCAGATGTCAAGAGCATCATGCACTGCTTCGAGGCAACTCAGGCAAATGGTGTTCCTCTGGCAGCACCTTTGGATGCGCTAAGTGCCATTGCTATTGCGGGAGAGGGCCTAGCGGTTGCCAGTGTCATTGATCCACTGCTGAGACTAGGTTCTTGTTAAGGAATTTAGCTTGAGTTACCACAATACGGATCTATAGTAAATGCCGGGGTTTCCTTATTGTGGTAACTTAAACTAATCCTTTAAAGAACCCAGGAGAAGCTTGAAGGATGATCGGCCCAAGATTCGCAAGAGCGCTTGCGCAACGCTGGGTGCCATAGCGAGTGGCGGCGCCAAGGAGCTGCTGGGGTCTCTAGGCCTCTGCGCCGAGGCCGAGGGTCGAGGATGTCGAGCCTCTCTGTTTGAGATGTTGGTCTGCACAGCTCTTGACGACAGAGATGACGCCGTACGTTTGGAGGCTGCTGACGCACTAAGATGCTTGCCAGAAGCTGATCCAGACACTTGCGATGAGACGCGTCAACGATTTCCTCAGCTGGTCAGGCGTTTGCGGGCTGAACGGTATAGAGACTGTCGAAGAGGAAAGAAAGGAGAAGCATTCAAAATCATCTCTGAATCTATGGGTATGGCGGATGAGTTTGGGTTTTCAGGTCCAACGACATCACTTGAAGGGCTATGTGCTATTTGCCAAGAGCAGTTTCATACAGACGGATGGTGCCCAGACTCGGATCAACCGCTCACTCTGCTCTGTGGCCACACTTTCCATCACAAATGCTGTCGTCAATGGTTTGAGTGGCAAGACAGATGCGACCGTAAACCAAGCTGCCCAGTCTGTAGAGCAACAGGTCATCCAGATCTGTTCGCGCGAAAAAAGTGATTGGGGCACCAGCATCTGCAAACAGAAGCCGGCTCCGAGGCTATGACGCGTGATGTCGTGGAGATGTGCAGCAGACATGTAGCAGTCATGTGGCTGTAGGTTGCAATTTTGGACAAGTACTGCCAAGCAGTCCTGTCATGGTTAGTCAAGCTTCATCTGTGGGTTTGTTTCGGAAAACAGGCGACCCTAACATAGTACCCTTAATAATAGGGTCCTTTATAAGGAGCCCAAAATAAGGTACCCCTCATTTTCGGAAACTCCCACTTTGGCTTCTTATCAGCTGGCCAGATCTTTGGGTTGGCACAGCTTGTGAAGCTCGCATGCCTTTAACTTTAAGCCTTTTACCTTTCAGTCACCATACGGAGCACTTTGTCGAAGCTGCCGAGTCCCACGGATCATTGTACAGTTGGCCCAGGGTCCTGGTGCAAAAGACTTGCCAGCTGCCAGCTGAATGAGAAGGGTACAGTCCTGTCGACCAGTTCCTGTAAGAGGGCATCGGGAGAACTATAGTGTATACATATGCATACTACTATTTACTAGTATGTTGTACTCATATATTTCACTGCATACTAGTATGTGCTGCTATGAAATAGAGAATATACGAAAATGGACGGGGACATACTCAGACATAATACCACATACCAACATCTACGACCATCTGAGCCCAACCTTCAAACTCGGATTCTCTTGGTCGCAGTTGAATCTCTGTGGTGGCTCTGGTTCGGCAAAGGTCGGCTCTAACCGAAGGTTAGTGTGCCGATAGCAGAGTAGAGCACCGGCTGCGCCCGGCGGAGATGGCATGGTTTCTGAGGTGGCACGGGGTGGGGGGATCCAGGAATGTGAAGGCCATGTCAGACGGTGTGTTCGCCGACTGCCCGACACGGAAATCTTTCCCGTGGCTGTCGTTCCACAGTGCAGGCTGTTGGTGGCCAGTGCCTGCGCGCTGCAGGTCGGCGCCGTTGCGCCTGCCTGAGCTTGGCGAGCGTTCGTGTTTGCAGAGTCTGTCCTCAAATGTGGGAGTGGGAAGTGCGTTTCGTTGCATACGGTTCGACACACCGTGATGAATTGCCTTGTTCAACGCACCAACGGTTTAATAATACCACCATGCTGTTATAAGATACCCCCAAAGCCCCATCCCACCTGTTCAGGCCCCTAGATTAGACGATTAGCGTCCTACAGACCCCCTTGAAGTATTCTACTTCTTAAGGCCCTATACACTGAACCCTAAACCCCTAAACCCTAAACCCCTAAACTGCCCTATATCATCGTGAGGGGGAGAGCTCTAGCTCGCACGTGCGGTGCACTTCCCGCCAAAGCTGTCGCCGAGGTCGTATGTCCTGCCACGATGGCAGCAGGTGGCTGTAAGGGGTTTAGGGGTTTAGGGTATAGGGTTTAAGGTTTGGGGCTTTGGGATTTCCGGGTTTAGGGTGTGGGGGTTTGGGATTTCGGGGTTCAGCGTCTACGGTATAGAGGGCACTGTTAGAGCTACGATAAGGAGACTATCAAGAAGTTCTTTGAGGGATGCTATGGCGGCTGCCATAAGGATAATGGGCCTGAATACTTAGCTTAGAAGGAGCTTTTGTGTAGAAGTTTCGTGCTACAGATGCAGGTAGGCTTTCACTCTGCATTTCTGCTGAGGCCCCAAGTGTTTTTTTGAAGAATATGCCGATCAGAAGTTTGACAAGTCCGAACTGGCATAGTGCTCCGTGATGATCCTCATATTTTTCAACGCAACCGGTTAGGACGGATACCCCATAACAAGCAGTGCTAAAGTGAAATGCTTCGGGAGGTGAGACTTACTTTTGCTACGCCAGTGCCACTGCCGGACAGGCGGGCGAGACGAAAACTGGGGCTTGCTATCTTTACCTACTGCTACTGCTCTCCCACTCTTCATGCTGCTGCTTCTACTCCGAGTATTCCAGCCACTCCTCCACCTGCTCCTGCTACTGCTCGCGACGCCGACCCGTACTCCTGCTGCTGATACTACTACTACTACTACTTCTGCTACTACGACGACCACTACCACTACCACTACCACTACCACTACCACTACCACTACCACTACCACTACCACTACCACTACCACTACGGCTACGGCTACTGCTACTGCTACTGCTACTGCTACTACTACTACTACTACTACTACTACTACTACTACTACTACTACTACTACTACTACTACTACTATTTCCACTCTCACTTCCACTACCGCTGCCATGACCCCGAACACTACCGCTACCCCGACCCTACCCCTACACCAACTTCTACCCTTTCTTCCCCTACCGCCACCGCCACCGCTACCACTGCCGCTGCCGCTTCCTGCCGCTGCTGCTGCATGCCGCTGACGATGTCGTGACGAGGGTGGGATGTCAAGTTTGCCGATCGAAACAATTTCGGTTTGTTGGAAAGCTTGTAGGAGTACCTGGTAGCTGCTTTGATAAACCCGGACAGATAGACTCTAAACCCTAAGCCCCGTAGCAGCATTGGGGGCCTTCTTCGCAACAGGCCCCGTCGGAGCTTCTCTTGAAATCCGGCAGCACCACGCCCCCCGGCACAAAAAAGGGGGTCTTCGTAGCTAGAACAGGTTCCTTATGTGGGCTACCGTATGGGATCTGGATAAAAGGGGGCCTCCATGCTTAGAAGCCGGGTCCTTTTTCGGCTTACATGAAATTTCGACAACATGGGGACGAGAATCTCTCAACCCCTGCTGCCCATGCGAGACCTGGAATCCGGACATATGTGCGATCTTGACTTGGATCCTGAGCATACATGATTTGTAAATCCGGGGGTAGGCCCTCGGTTAAAGAAGAGGACCTTCGGGTTTCACTTTGCAATGCAAGCATCGTCCTTTCCTCAAAGCATGAACGTCTCAAGGATGTCGAATTACCGTGCAGTCCCAGTCCCATCTAGTTGGATACCTCCCTAAACCCTAAACCCTAAACCCTACACCCTAAACAATAAAACCCTGAACCCTAAACCGTAAGGCAGGGCGTGTTACAAGCCCCATGGCCATGACACAATGCCCTGGACGCTGTTTTTTATGCGGCACCGCAGCGATCCGAAGTTAGTCCCCAGAGAGCCCAATACCCCTTAATTAAGGAATATGGCTTAAACCATAATATGAAGCCTATATGGTTTAAGCTATATTCCTTAATTAAGGGGTATTGGGCTCTCTGGGTCGTCGCTTGGAACAGTCCCGCAACCGCCTCTTCTTCGGATTGATAAGAGGTTGGCCATCGGAAGCCCAGACGCGCAAAACCAGGCGATGGAACGGTGGGCTTCGGGTTCTGCAGGTTTTCGGTGTGCAGTCCACGCTTCTCTGCACGCATGCAAAACTTTTCCGTGCAAAGCAGGCGCGGTAGAAAGAAGCATTCTTTAGGTAAAGGCCGTCCAGTATGCCTTCGCCAGGGTCTCTACGCTTTGACGCTGCCTTCTAACCTGGCTGCCGGATCGTACTTGGTGCAGGACTTGGGGCTTAAGCATGGAACCCCAAAACCCTAAACCCCAGACCCTCACATACAAAACGCTAAAGCCCTAGACCCCAAAACCGTAAGCCCTAAACCGTGAATGCAATCCTCTTTGCTTTGTCTTTCATTGAAGTGGCCAGTGATGTACATCTGCTGCTTAGTGAGCCACGGACCCTGTAGACTGAACCCTAGGTAAGCAGTGGACTGCTGTGACCCCGCAACAAAAACAGTTTGTGTTCCAATGGTATTCTGATAGTATTACACAGGCATTACAGTAGTATTCTTATTCTTGTACTATTAGAACCAACTTTAGTAGTGTGATGCTGGTATTATGGTACTGGTGTTACAATAGTACTATACCAGCGGTATGATACTGGCACTAGACCGCTATCCCTAAACCCTAAACCCTAAACCGTCAGTGAACCCGACCAGCCTGCCGCTTCGGTGCACTTCTCGGCCCCCCCCCCCCAAGAACCTCCCGCGAAGAAGCTCGAAATCCGTTTTGCGAGGTTTCCGAGATGCCTACCTACAATGTAAACCCTAAACCCTAAACCTTAAACCCTAAATCCTACCTACCCTACAGGCCCCAAGCTCAGACAACCAGTGTAGTTGGCCTGTCGATCTCTTTCCTGCCTTAGGCCCCGACACTTCGCAGTGTCGATTCCCCGGTCGCCTTCTTCTGTATCCCGTACCCGAAGAGCCCAATACCCCTTAATTAAGGAATAGGCTTCATATTATGATTTACGCTATATTCCTTAATTAAGGGGTATTGGGCTCTCTGGGTAGAAACCCAAAACCCGTAAACCCTAGACCCTAGAGTAAACCGGACAAAGATCGCATTTGCTCGCTCGGAGGAGCCGGCAGGCCTCAGCGCAGAGGCCAGGCAACGTGGGAGGTGTAGGATTTATGGGAGTTAGAAGGCATCAAACGCGGTGTAGAGGATTTTTACAGTTTTAACACGGGCTTTTATACTGAGCTCCAAGGGTTTACAGTGTTTTGTGATGGTTTATCGAGCTTTCCAACGGATTCTGGAAGGGCTGCAGGGGGGTTTTGGGCATTGTCTTATGGGGTTTGGAGGTTGGGGCGTTGGGCTTGGAGGTTTAGGCTGGCTCCGGGGTGTAGGTAGTGGGCTTGGAGATGGGGGTTTGGAGGACTAGGGCTGTGGGGTATGGAAGTTTAGGACTTTAAGCGGTTACTGCAAAGTAATGACAACGGTTAATCTGGCAGCAATCGTAGTTGTATGACGATATCCGCCGAATATGATCAATCCTAGCACTACGTGGGCATAGTCACCAGGATCCTACATGCCTTCAATCTGCAAGGTTTGTGGCACACGCGGAAGGCTCTTCGCCCTTTACTACCCTCACGGCTTCATGGTTTACAGTTTGGGGCTTTGGGCTAAGTCTTTGCCCAGCGCTTCAAGGATAAGCTCAGGGCATCCTGGAGCCCCCCTAGGCCATCCTGAGCCCCAACCCCCCAAACGCACCCTTACCGCGTAGCATTACCCATGGTATCCCAAGCCCTAAACCCCAA